ACCCCAGATTTTTCTCTTTTTAAAATAGAGACAGAATTATCACGTGTCGCCCAGGCTGGTCTCAAACTCCTGACCTCAAGTGACCCTCCCACCCTCAGTCTCCCAAAGTGCTGGGATTACAGGCATGAGACACAACACCCAGCCCTGTAATTTAGCAAAAGATATTTCATTCTAGGCTGGGAATGGTGGCTCCAGCCTGTAATTCCAGCACTTGGGAGGCTGACGTGGGAGGATTACTTGAGGCCAGGAGTTTGAGATCAGCTTGGACAGCACAGCTAAACTCCATCTCTACTTAAAAAAAAAAAAGAAAGAAAGAAAAAATTAGCTAGGCGTGCTTCTATAGGACTGCAGTTTCCATTATTTAGGAGGGTGAGGTAGGAGGGCGAGGCAGGAGGATTCCTTGAGCCCAGGAGGTTGAAGCTGCAGTGAGCTATAATTTCGCCACTGCACTCCAGCCTGGGCAACAGAGCAAGACCGTGTCTCCAAAAAATAATTTAAAAAAATAAAAAACAGATTTCTAATAGCAAAAGGACCTCATCATCAGCAGTTAAGTTTACAATATGCCCAATTTAACATGGATCCCTACGGACAGAAGTAAAAGTATTAATAAACTTGAATTTTAACAATTATTTGATCAATTAGTTATAATGTCCTTTCCACTCTCTCCTTTGTAAAGTATCATCATGCTTATGCTATGACAGTACTTATTTGCTATAAATTAACTTTAAATAAAATGATTTTTGCGTTGTTATGCAACTGATTGATACTTGTATTTCAGCTGGGAATTACTGTTTGATATTTTTGTATGCAACATTGATATAAATCATACTACATTTATTTAGTCAAAGTCTGGACTCCGAAGGAACTTTAAAAATCTTTTGATAAAATTTCTCTCTGTTAATGGCACGCTCCTACTCATCAAAAATTTTCATAAACTCCAGTCATTACAGATGACAACATGTGCAAGAAACAGTACAGTCAAATTATAACAGCAAATTTACATCAACTCTTTTTTTTGAGATGGAGTTCTGCTCTGTCTCGCCCAGTGGCAGATCTCGCCCAGAGTGCAGTGCGCGATCTCGGCTCATTGCTGTCTCCCGGATTCAAGTGATTCTTCTGTCTCAGCCTTCCCAGGAGCTGGGACTATAGGTGCACACCACCATACCCAGCTAATTTTGTATTTTTAGTAGTAAAGATGGGGTTTCACTATGTTGGCCAGGCTTGTCTTGAACTCCTGACCTCAGGTGATCCATCCGCCTTGGCCTCCCAAAGTGCTGGGATCACAGGCGTAAGCCACTGCCCCCAGCCAACTCGCCTTTTACCAAAAAAAAACAAAAAAAAAGAAAAGAAAAGAAAGAAAATTCCTCCACCTTGGAACTTCCCCATGCAATTTTAATAGGAATTAAAACAGAACTATAAGGATGTTCAAAGCTTTCCTAGCCATGCTAGCAATGAGATGATGATAAACCCAGTGTTAGACATGACTAGCAATCGGGACTCTGGAAATAATGATACCAAATGAGACAAGTGGGAGGTACCCTGTGATCCTATGTTTTTCTTGTTATTCCTGAATTTAATGATAAAGGCACACCCTCAACTCTGCCTGTATCTTATCTGCCTGAACCCTGCAAATCAGCAAATGTCATCTTGCTTGACATTTTTGATCCGTCTCAAGGAAGGAAAGTTCCACTGACACTTGTGAACAATAGCTGTGTTTCAGATAAGATGGTACGTTCAGTTTACAGTCGGTTTTGAGACTGCACTTTTGTGGTTGGAATTTTGGAAACATGCCCCCTAGAAGCTGCGCTCACTAAATTTTCCAAATTTTAAATTTAGAATTTAAGATCATTTTACAATTTTTATTTATGCTTGCTGCTGTGGCCCTTCGGAGGGAGTTAGAAGCCCACTTCTTGGGCTGCTGTCCCAGGCCACCGAGAGTGGCCCCGTGGCTTTCAGTAGAGCAGGCTTCCTCTGAGCGGAGGACTTGAGTGAAGACTAGGACAGGATGGGGGCGGGAAGGAGGGCGGGCAGGGGGTGGGGGCGGGTGCTATTTCTGTTTTTGTCTTTTGAGACGGAGTCTCACTGTGTCGCGCAGGCTGTAGTGCAGTGGCACAATCTCAGCTCACTGCAACCTCCGCCTCCCCGGTTCAAGCAGTTGCCTGTCTCAGCCTTCCAAGTAACTGGGATTACAGGCACCTGCTACCATGCCTGGCTAATTTTTGTATTTTTAGTAGAGACGGGGTCTCACTGTCTTGGCCAGGCTGGTCTTGAACTCCTGACCTCGTGATCCACCTGCCTCGGCCTCCCAAAGTGCTGGAATTACAGGTATGAGCCACCGCGCCCAGCCGCAGGTGCTATTTCAATGCCCTTCTTCCCCAGGGTGCCCTTTCTTCTTGCCAGGCCTCTGCCCTTTTGTCAGTCTGAGGTGGAGGAGTCTCTTGAAATGAGATAAACCTTCCCATCCCCCTCCACCAGGATGAAGGCTTTGGAGGAGGGGGTGCAGGTCCCACCTATTCTTCCATCTTTTCTGTCTCTGTTTGCGGGGGGTGGAGGCCCAGAGGTGGGAGGAGGAAAGAACAGATGAGGAGAGGTATAGAAAGGGGTTTTTCCTCCCACCCTCCTCCCCTTTCCCTCTCCCACTGCCTGTATGGTGGCCACAGACTGTGCAGGCTGGTGTTAAGCTCAGGTGACAAGTGGGCCTGGGTGGAGATGGGGGAAGGAAGGAGCTTTCTGGAGGCACTTGGCCAGGCAGTCGTGCGCAAGAAGATTGTCACCCTGAGATCCATTCTTTGCATCCCCAGGCGGTGGCAGGATAGAAGTGGTGCACCGCATCAGACTGCTGGGGTCTGCTACCACCAACACTAAGCAACCACAGCCTTTTAAATCCCACTTCTCTAACAGGTAAAAAAGGACTGTCCTCTTCCATTTCCCCGCAGTAAACTCTGGGCTAATAAATGAGAATGTGTCACACGTAGTTTAATGAGAATGTGATACATCAAATCCAATTCGTAGATGGCGAGAACTCCTAATGGCTTCTGTACAGTGCCCGGAACCTGGCTGACAAAAATGTTTAATAATTGCCTCACTGGACACCAATTTGCCAAAGAATCTATTTTTTAAAATCTCAACATTTTATTACTGGCTGTTACTTTCAATATATCTGGTGATAAATCTGACATTTATCTCATAAATCTGACAAGAGAAGATGAGCTGGGTGAGATGAGCACTAAATCAGAAGTGATAAGTATGTCTCTATAATAGATTTTGCTGGTGTAGAGTTTACAATTGATGGTGAGGCTGACTTCATGTGCTAGCAACCTAATGAAAACCACTGTAATTGTCAGTGGAAAAAAACATGGTGGTTTAGAAAATAACTTTCTTTTGAGTTAATCCTAATCTTTCGGTTGTACTGAATCAGTGTTATTCATCATTTTTGCTTATTTTAATCAGGGACTTACACAGAATCCTTCCAAATTGAACTAAGTGTCTCAATTTTCTAAGCCCATAACCAATACCAAATAGCACTTTCATGGAATTGTCAGTCAAAGCAAGGCTTTGCCTTTTATCTTTTCTCCCCCAAATTACCTAGAAAATCTGATCTTTCCAATAACAAATTTGAACCAAATGTTTCGTTTGTTTAAAATCCTTTAAAGTTTGGATTTGAAGGAATCCCTTCCCTCCCAGCGTCCACATGAAGACTCCCTCTTCTTGGCTAAACTGCTGTGTAGTGTGATGAGGTACTGTTTTAAGCTGGGCTAGTAGAAGCTGGAAGTGGTTACATTTCACCAATAGGTTACTGGATTTTCATTTATTTCTTAACTGAGCTTTATTTTAGGGGTGAAGCACTCAGCCTTACACAAAGGATGAAAAAGTAAATATTACATTAAATTATTATTATTATTACAATTTTTTTTTTTTTTGAGATGGAGTCTCGCTCTGTTGCCTAGGCTGGAGTGCAGTGGCGTGATCTCTGCTCACTGCAACCTCTGCCTCCTGGGTTCAAGCAATTCTAGTGCCTCAATTTCCCAAGGAGCTGGGATTACAGGCGCCTGCCACGACGCCTGGCTGATTTTTGTATTTTTAGTAGAGACGGGGTTTCGCCATGTTGGCCAGGTTGGTCTCAAACTCCTGACCTCAGGTGATCCACCCACCTCCGCCTCTGAAAGTGCTGGGATTACAGGCATGAGCAACCACGCCCAGCCTAACTATCACATTACATTTTTTAAAGTCCCGGGTAACCAAAGGGGATTTGGAGTCCTCTTTTTTTTTTTTTTTTTCTTTTTTTTTTTGAGTCTCGCTCTGTCCGCTGTTGCCCAGGCTGGAGTGCAGTGGTGCGATCTCTACTTTAATATAGTGATGTTCTAGATCAGTAACTGAAAAAAAAAAAAAAACAGCAATAGAGGAAAGTGACCCCTGTCTGTTGGTTTATTACTTTTTTTGTGTTATAAAGTACTTTTGGAGAATTAACAGGGATGCTGTACTCTTGAGAACACCATGCCCATCTTTTTTATGCAAGATATTTTGTTACATATATTTGGATAGTCAGTAATGTCATATCTCGGCTCCACGGGAGATGTTGGTATTCCAAGGAGCTCTCGATCCGAGAGAACTGTGCAATGGTTATTGGGGTGTAACTTTGTATGCACGGAGGAGCAAGGCCGAGACTGGGTGCCTTATCAATTCACGCCAGAGCCGTCTCTTGGGTTGGTCCACTGTGGAGAGCCTCATGGGATCTTAGCCTGGTTCCTTGCATGTGGCTTGCCAAAGTGAGATACCTCTCATGACAACATGCCTTTCGTGTCTCTGCTCACGGAACTTTAAGTAACATACTGGTCGAGATGACTGACGAATCCCAATCTGTTGCGATCCCAGAGGCACCTTATGGCCCTGGGATATGTTTTGCCCTGCGAGGGCCGTGTTGCGGGACAGGATGCTCCATGAATGGTCGAGTCATGGGAAAGTACT